ACTAAGATCGCTTAGCACCCACTTCCCCTCTGTCCCTGGACTGTCCCACCTAAGACACCTGGCAGATACCACAACCAGCTACATGCGCTGAACGATATCAGTACCTTGCCTAGACTTTCACAATGCTCCAGGCAAAGGAGATGTTTTTCTTGTGGCCACTTTAGAGCAGATAACTGGCTTAAAATGTAGCCATTATATGAAATACCATACACCCCTAACCTCCTGTCTGGGTTCTGGTCTAGCCTCTGCAGCTTCCTATTGGATGATCCCCAGAGATATCAGGACATTTAAAAGCTAACCCAGACCCTTTTCTCATCTACAAAATGATGAACAGATCTTAAAGATGCTTTCCCACTATAAAGTCATTTGGATTCATTCTCTGTCCTATCCTGGCTCTTCTGGGCATTTCTCCATTCCCAACTAAGCAGGGACACAATGAATCCCTGCAGCCCAGTGCCCCACCCCCTTCTGCCAAAGGTCACAGGATGGTTAAGGACCACAGGAGATCTCCAATGCATACTTCAAATTAGTAGAAATATTTCAACACCCATTCACCACCTGTAATAGTTCACACAAACTCTCAGAGGGGAGTCAATTCCTTTCATATTGTCTAAATCTATTTTGAAGTTTCATGGCTACCTTTAATTTTTGTATGTCCAGAGGACAAACTTACATTCATCCTTCAGACACTCAGAAATCCAAAGTGGTTTTTATTTTTGTTTTTCCTAAGATGGTCTTTCTATATAGCACTGACTAGCCTATAACTTGTTATATAGCCCAGGTTGGCCTCAAACTCTTGATTCTCCTTCCTCAGTCTTTTAAGTGCTAAGATTACAGATGTGTGTCACCACAGCTTGCTTCACAAGTGCTACATATGGGTGAAGTAAATCTTGGTAGCTAGGGTTTTGGTTACCTAGTGATGCCCATGTTGGCCCAAATTGCATATTTATCAAGACTTAGCAACTTTTATGAGTGTTTTTTTGCCTGTATGTACATGTACCACATACATACCTGGTGCCATAGGCTGGAAGAGTGTGTCAGACTCCCCTGGAACTGGAGTTATGGATGGTTGTGAGCCACCAAGTGGGTGCTAGGAATCAAACGAATGCTCTTTGAATTTTGTTTGATTTATTTATTTTTATTTTATGTGTATGAATGTTTGCCTTCATGTACATAAGTGCACCATGAATGTGCAATGCTGACAGAGGCCAGAAGAGGGCATCAGATCCTCTGGAACTAGGGTTACAGATGGCTGTGAGCTGCCATGTGGGTGCTGCAAACTAAACCCAGGTCTTCTACAAGAGCAGCCAGTGCTCTTAACTGATGGGTCATTTCTCCAGCCCCAGGAACTGTTTTTATACAGGTTTATTATCAGGCATTTATCATGAACACTTAGTGGAGTTTCCCCTCACATCTCTGCAAACTTCTCATATAAAAATATGCAAATTCTCCTTACCATAGGTGGGAATGAGTTTTTGGAATGTGGGATGATCCCCATCTGTCATGGATCTCAGAGTGAGCACCTGTGGTGGAAAACCTTTTCCCGAGCCTAAATTCACAGAGATTCTACCCAGAGCAAGTGATGAAGCACCATTCCTGACTCAGGGCTCTGGATGCCTCTAGAATACTGATATCTTACTCCTAACAGACACCTCAGAGCATTCAGAAACTAAGGGCAGATCCCTTTTTTCCTCTCCCTGTTTGTGTCAGTTAGGGCTTGTTTCTCAACAAACTAGTTTCAATTACAATGTAAGTGTGCTGGGGGGTCCAGCAAGATGGCTCAGTGAGTAAAGGTTTATACAACACAGCTTAATGACCTGAATTTGATCCCCAGAGGAGACGACTGGCTCTGCAAAATTGTCTATTGACCTCCATACATGTATTATTACTAGGCTGCACTTTAAAAAATACATGACTAGCCAGGCGTGGTGGTGATAAAATACACATTTTATCACAGAACTTTTCAGGAAACCTAAGTCAAAAAAAGTCTCAGAAACAATCTCTTGGTATAAATTCCTTCCAGTCTTAGAAAGATTTCCACCTAGGTGAGATGATTTTTTAGATACCATTTGTTTCTGTTTCCTCCAAATGTAAAATTATAGGAAAATGCTTAATACCACAAGCTAAGTTTGGTTGCAGTTCTTTGTCTAGAATGAGATAGAACACATGCTGGAGCAAATAAATAAATGGCAGTGCCTGGACTCTGCTCCCCATGCCTCTTGCCCTGGCTCTCCTCAACCTGCCTAGGCAGCAAGGGCAGTGCCTTGCTGGGTTTCTCAGCCACTGCCGCCTGCACCTCTGCTCACTGGCCTCAAGCTAGGATGCACCCTCCCTGGCGTCTCCTCAGGCCAAGAGACACAAGAGATCACTGAGGTCTCAGGGCCATTTCTACACCATTCGTTTTATACTCTTGGAAGCAGGAGGCTCATGGGGTTTGTGCATTCTGAAGAGACCACTTGCCCACTTCTTCCTGCCTGTATTCACCACATTTTTCAAAACATTACGCTCTGTGGTAAGGACCAAGCCTGGACTTAATGTACTCTCACCATGGGGCCACTTTCATGTGACAGCAACTGGGGGAAGGCTACCCAGGGCAGACCTTACTGACTGAACCCCTAGGTGTTTTATCTCTTCAAGTGAGCCACAAAGTGTTTCAGTGATGAACTGTCTCTGCACTTTTACCCTTAGTGGCAGCTACAATAGGCTAAGCGATCAGTGAATGACTCATGATAAATATAACAGCAGTGTCCCTCCTGCCACACACATTTCCCTCCTTGTTGATGGGACCTTTCTATACTAGCATGGATTAGCTAACCTGAAGCACTGTGAATAGATTCTGTTATTTTTGCTGTGTACTAGGGAAAAGTGAAGCACTGAGAGGCCAGAGGCAGGGCTCAAGCTCTCGAAGTTAGTAAGCTATGGGGTTGGAATTCAAATTAGAAAACTCTGACCAACCCTAATAGCCATAAAATGGGATTCAACAACTAAAACATTTTCTAAGGCTAAGTAAGGCGTGGGACAGACACACAAACATACAAAGAAGGGCAAGAGATGGGCTAGAGAGATGGCTCAGTGGTTAAGAACATTGGCTGCACTTGCAGAGGACTCATGTTTGGTTCCCAGCACCAACATGGCAACTAACAACTATCCATAACTCTAGTTCCAGGGAATCTGACTCCCTCTTCTGGCCTCTTGTGGGCACTGTATGCACATGGTACACCTACACACATGCAGACAAAACACTCATATACCTAAAATAAAAATAATTTATTAAAAAGGGCAGGAGCAGGGAGGGGGCAATTCCTGTGAGCTGAGTAAGCTTCCACTGAATACTGGGAGATAAGAGGGTCTTCGAGGATGTATTCTCATCAGTCATAACAAGAAGGGCTCATGGAACATTCATTCATCCTGACAGAAACACAACTCTGTGTTCCCCAAGTAAGTTCTATCCCTGGCTCCTTGTACCCGGCCTCTAGAATGGCTGGAGGGGAGAACAGCTCAGCCCCTCCTTACTGACTGGGATAAGCACCCCCACAAATCATTATTTACTTGCTATTTGCACATTTTAATAAGACATCCTTTTCCCAAGACCATAAAGATCGCCATAAAGTCACAAGGATTCAACACGCTTATCATTGGCATCAATGTGTTTGTTCTGTCACACCTTAGATGCACATGCCAGTCACAGAATGCTCTATAAGCAGCAGACCACAGGAGCCAGAGCTGTCACTGTACCAAGGACTACCTCTGCAATGGTCACATCCATGACAGTTCTAAGGCCCCTGAAAGCAAGACCTACAAGCTGATTGGGCTCCTCAGCCTCTGGCCTGCAGCACAGAGATACATACTGCCCAGACCCAAGCTCCATTTGCAGTCACTTGAGACTTGGTCTGTACAACCAGAGGACACTTCAAATCTGTCCTCAGTGAATACCACTGCTATGGCCATGACCCAAGTGGGCCTTGCCTCTTCCTCTTCTAAGATCGGCCATCTGTTCCCTCTACCTCCCTCCTTCTACCTCCCTCCTCAAGCATGCCCGTGATTTCTCACCTGGCTCATGGCACCTTTCATTATAGTCCCCAACCAGTCTCTTCTCCCACCACAGAGGAGAAAGGTCCTTCAAATGCACAAGGTGACAAGGACATCACTTACTTTCAATCCCTTAGAATAAAGTCACTACGACCCCACCTCCCATTAAGTCCAGCTCCCGACTTGGCTCCCTGGGTCCTGATTGATCTTGCCCAGTCCTCATGCTACCTTTCCTTCATCTTTTTATTCTTGCTAAGCCAAGAAGAGTCCAAACAGGTCTTCCTCTCTCTCTTTCTCTCAGTCCCAGCTGTTCCCAACTCCTAGAATAGCTCATTTCTAGCAGAAGGCCCTTCAGGACTCTGCATAGCACCACCTCCTGCAGGAAGGCCTCTGAAGGTTAGTGTTTACTGTCAATTTCACAAAATCCACAATGAGCTGAGAGATGGTCCTCCAGATATGCCTGTGGGGGATTATCTTGATTATGTTAGTTGAGGTAGGAAGACCTGCCCACTCTGGATGCCACCATTTCCCTGTTGGGATTGTGATGCATAATGGGGACATGGAGCTGAGCAGCATGCATTTATTGCTCTGATTCCTGATTGTGGATGTGATGGGACCAGCTCGTTCAAACTCCTGTCTCTTTGACTTCCCTGCTACAATAGACTATATTCTTGAACTGTGAGCCAGAACAAACCCTTTCTCCCTTAAGTTGCTTTCATCAGAGTATTTTATCATAGGAACAAAAGAAACCAAGACAATCTCCATGATGGCTTCCACTGGGGTTCAGTACCACACAGTATCATTATCAGTTTCCCTTGGGGTCTTTTCCATTAGCTTGTCAGTTCGTTTCTGTGTTCTCAGGACCCAGTATAGTAGAAGGCATACAGCAAACCATCCGCCAAATGAAAGAGTCTTGAAATCCAACCCACCATGTTGCCCTCTGTCCTTCCCCAACATCCAGGTAGACTTACCGACACAATCACAGGTGGGAAACTCGGCCTGGGCCCTCTTGGCAGGTGTGTCCAGTAGACTCTTGGTAGGTGTGTCCAGGTACTTAAGAGGTGACTCTAAGAAGCCACTGAGGGTGGGTGTGAGTGGGTTCTCAGCCTTGGTGGGTGTGGCTTCCTGGCCTCCCTCCTCTGAATGGAAGCAGGTGGTAGAGAGCACAGTCACAGCCCCTGAAGACTCAATCTTGATCTTCTTTGGGGATCGGGTGGCAAAAGGGCTCTCAGGGGCTGGGAGACATGTTGGCTGGTTCTCAGAATCTTGAATGGGCACTGAAGGGGGGCCAGGAAGCCCAAAGCTATCCCCAAATTCAGCCTCGAATTGTCGGATGAGCTCTTCTAGTTTGTCATCAGCAGGGGGAAGGGGGCCGGTAGAGCCTGGCTGCAAGGCTGCCATAGGACTGGGAGACCTCATTTCCTGAGTAGGGGGCAGCAGGCTGTCCCCAGAGGGACTAGGTGCAAATAGCGCAAGAGAGGGTTCTGGGGGCAGAGGGATGGTAGAGCCCTGGGGGGCAGAGGGTGGGGCAGGGAGCCGGGCAGGTGGAGGTGTTTGCACTTCCTCCAAGGCTGGGGATCTCAGCCCTTCTAGGACTATCTGCCTGACAGGCAGGAAGAGGGGCTGCATGTTCCGGGACCTGGACTTCTTGATTTGAATGGGTTTTCGGACACTGGGCTTGATCCCAGGGGTGATTTTTTCTGCTCCCACAAGACCTCCAGCTGGGGTTGAGGGTTTCTTCTTCTTCTCCTTGGGTGGTCTGTCTGGAGGCCGTGGGGCAGGTGAGCCTGGTGGGGCCCACCAGCCAGGAGCTGGAGGCTCTGCTGGAGCAGGGAAGGAGGCATCATGGGCCTGTTCCAAGAAGAGGCTGCGCTTGTGGTGGAGGTGCTGCTGCAGCGCAGTCTGGGCCTTCTGATGGGTGCCAGGCTCTGATGATGGTGTGGGAGCTTCCCTCGGGGGAATGGAGGACAGGGCTGGAGCTGGGGAGGAAGAAGGTGCCTCAACCTTGACCTTGGGTTTAGTGGAGAGGGCCTCAGGCCTCTTGAATACTGACTGAATGTAATCGCTGGCGCTGCCCAAAAGCTGCTCCAGTTCAGCCATAGGGTCGGGGCTTGGGCGGGGCACGGGCCAGGAGTTCCGGGGTGTCACTGGAGGGGTATCAGTGCCCCAAGTTTCAGGAAACTCAGTTCTTGGAGTTGCTGGAGGGAAGGCTGGGCTATCAGGAGCAAAAGATGGGTGTTCCTCAGGGGGAACTACAGGCCATGAGGGGGCCCGGAGGTAGGACTGGGGAGATCTGAAAGGGGCAGAAGGGGACAAGGCCTCAGGGAGTGGACAAGAAGCCTGGGAGGTGGAATGAGAAGGCTGGGGGAGGGTGGAGGAGAGCTGTGTGAGGGCCTCGATGGCAATGGCTGTCTGTAGACTGATGTTTTTTTCCTTGGCGATGCTTAGGGCACTCTGGGACAGAGGTAGGCCCTCCAGGGGAGGTGCCTGGGGGACCTCGGAGCTAAGGAGTGGTCTGGTGCTTGGGGCTGGGAGGCCAGCCTCACCAGGAGGCAGAGTCCCTGAAAGTCTGGGCCGCTCCTGTCCTCCTTCCATGGCCACAGACTTGATCTTCCCCTCCAGCCACTCGAGGTAGTCGGGGCACTCTGGGCCATCGCAATTGCAGTTGGGTGGTTTCATGCCATGCCGTGCAAGGGCCAGGGCCGTCTGCAGCGTGTCAAGGTCTTCACTGCCTTCAGAACAGACCTCAGGCCCTGGACGGGGGCCCTTACTGCTGTTCCCAGCCTCTCGACTCATCTCACGGTTGAAGGTTTCATAGAGCCGGGTGCTAAGGGCCCCATAAGAGGACACAGCTTCGGCCACAGCCGAAAAGGCCACCAGATCGTGGGCATCTTCCAGGCGAGCAGTGTGGGCTGGGCCTGGGGCAGCCTCCCAGTTGGGCTTCTGGTCTACCCGCCAAGGACCTGCAGCTCCCAGAAGACTAGGTCCAGCGGGCTCTCTAGCACCATTGATGGGCGCCCCTGAGGTGCTTAGCTGCCTTGAGTCCCCATGGTACACTGGCCCTGAGTCCATCTGACCTGGAACAGGTCCATCAACTGGGCTGAGCTTTGAGCCTGTCTGGAGAGAGAGGAGAGGAAAAAAGGAAAATATGAACCACACTATTTGAAAATCATTGCCCCATAATTGACTCCATTCAGGCACATCTCAAACCCTACTTTTTGTGCATAGTCTCTCCCTGGTGGTACTTAAGCCTCAGCCCATCTTCCTGCATCTCCACTCCTTAGCTGGCTCCACCAACAGCAATAGAAGGCCTTTAAGAGATACTAATGTGAGGTGGGGGAGATGGTTCAGTTGGTAAGATGCTTGCATAAGGATCTGAGTCTGGTTCCAGAACCCACATTAAAAGGGGGTGGGGGGACTGGAGAAAGTCCAGCAATGAAGGAGGACTTGCTGCACTTTGCAGATGATCCAAGTTCAGTTCCTAGCTCCTACATGGTGACAAAAAACTGCCTGTAACTCTAGTTGCAGGAGATCCAATGTCTTCTTCTGGCCTCCATGGCACCAGACACAGGAGGTGCACACACATACATGCAGGAATGCCAATGTACATGTAAAAAAATAAATCTTAAAAGCAGGGAGTAGCAGTATATACTTTTAACTGCAGTGCTGGGGAGGCAGAAGTAGGTGGATCCCTGGGGCTCACTGGCTACACTAGCCTCATCAGTGAGCTGCACGTCCAGTGAGAGACCACATTACAAAAGTTGCTCATGAGCAACACCACCCAAGGCTGTCCTCTACACACACACACACACACAGGTCCTATGTGGAATTCTATGTGCCACTTGAGCCCTGTGGAAGCTCAGATCAATCACATTGAAACTAAGTGACAAAAGTCATTCTAGGACCATGTCTACTGTTTTTTGCCAGGTTAAGCTAACCAAGTCCAGCATGTAATCATGTGCTGTATGTGGAAAGCAGGTATGGGCAGGAGACGGGGGAAGCAACTTTCCCTCTCAGCCTGGGCAGGAGTCAGCTACTGTTTCCTACTGGGAATAAAACCCACAGTTCCTTTCTCCCCATGTTAAGCGCCCTTAAGCCCAGGCTGAACTGGCAGAGCTAATGACAGATCACATTCCCATACACAGTCCCAGACCTGAGGGCACATTCATCACCATATTGAGCAAGTCATACCGATAACATGCGAGTTCCTGCTTGGAAAGAGTCAAGCCTCTCACGCAGAAACAATATATACTTGATACCCACAAAGAACACAAAAGGGAAGGTATTACTAATACAAACACATGAAATTGGGTTTGCAAGACTAACCCTTTACAAAGGTAAGGAAAAACCGAGAGGAATGACGGATTTCATGAGTCACACCCACTGAGAACCTCTCCTCAAAGACGAGTGTGCTGCTGCCTAGTTGCTACAGTCTAGTTCTTGAATATCCCCCCAAAGGCTCAGGTCTTGAAGGCCTTGTTCCCAGCTGGTTGGCATTACTGAGAAGCGGTGGAAATTGGAAGTGAGGCACAGCTGGAGGAAGTAGGTTAGTGGAAGGTTAGTGGGAGTATGCCTTAATGGGGCCCGGCACCTTCCTCTTTGCTTCCTGGCCTCCATGAGGGGAGCAGCTTTTGCTCTGACCCTTGCTCTCCACTGTGACATTCTGCTCACTGCAGGTACACTGTAATGAAGCCAAGTAGCTATAGTCTGAAATCTCTGAAACTGTTAGATTTGTTTGCTAATTTGTTTTGGCAAAGATGTTTTTCTCAGTTGTTTGTTTGGTTCACAGCATTGGAGAGCTGACTGATTCAACAGTGGGGAATTTTAGTAGACACCACCCTAACTAAATGATAAGACTATTATATTAGTTACAACGTTTTTCTCATCATTGTGACCAAACATCTGACAAGAAGCAACTTAAGGGTGCTGAAGAGATGGCTCAGTGGTTAAGAACACTAACTGTTCTTGCAGAGGACCTGGGTTCAGTTCTTATCACCCACATGGTAGCTAACAACTATCCACAACTTCTGTTCCAAGAAATCTGATGCCCTCTTCCAACCTCCACAGGCATTGCATGCATACTATAGGTGCACTTATATACATACAGGCAAACATGCATATGCATAAAAATTAAAAATAAGGGCTGGGCGTGTTGGTGCACGCCTTAAATCCCAGCACTTGGGAGGCAGAGGCAGGCGGATTGTTGTGAGTTCAAGTCCAGCCTGGTCTACATAGTTCAGGTCAGCTGGGACTACAGGAAGACCCTGTCTCAAAAAGACAAAAAAAAAAAATTAAAAATAAGAAGGAAGGAATTTATTTTGGCCCCCAGTGTGAGACTACAGCCCACTGTAGTGAAGAAGGCACACTCTGGCAGTAGGGGTATGAAGCGACTTGCTCACATCTCAGCAGACCAGAAATGGGGGGGGTGGTACTTAGCTGACCTTCACCCCCATATTCCCCCTCAAATACCTCCTCTCTGGAAAAGCCCTCATACACACACCCAAGGCTGTGTCTCACTCAATGTTCCAAGTGTTGCTTTTTTAAAAAAAAATATTATTTATTTTTAATTATTTATTAATAACCATATACTTAGAAGAAGCATTTCATTACATCAGCATTGACATACTACCATTCTTTTTTTTTTTTTTCAAATTTTATTTTCAAGGTTTTTTTTTTAGAAGCATTTCATTACAGCTTTAACATATTCAGTAACAATTTCCAGAGCAAGGATATATCTCTTTCAAAAGTGGCTGTAAATTTTTAGGTTCACAGTTGAATTAATGTAGTTATACAATATTGAACTCAGTATAAACCCTATAAGACATAAAATTGAGTGAGGTTTTAACCTTTAAAAAAGATCTCCATTTCATTATTAAAATACAGAGTTTCATATAGAAAACTTCATTTTTAATGCAATGACATTAAGAGGTTTGCACATGCGTTTCTAATCTCTATATATCAGATTATTACTAGTCATAGTCGGTTACTTTCTGACCTCCTTGGCATCTGAGCACGGATATAAAGTCATCGGGTAGATTTCAATAATAATGTTTTTCACATCTACTAATTATTAAGGAGCAAATTTTATGCTTTGAAGAATTATACTTTAAAATTTTTTTTAAAATTCAATAACCACATGATTAGAAGAAGCATTTCATTTCAGCTTTGACATATTCAGTAACACATTCCAGAGCAAGGATACATTTCTTTAAAGGTGGCTGTAAATTTTTAGGTTCACAGTTAAATTAATATAGTTATACAATATTGAACTCAGTATAAGCCCTGTAATTTATAAGCCCACAAAATTGGATGAGTTTTTAACCCTTAAAAAAGATCTCCCTTGTATCGTCTCACCCCTCTATCATGGTTTTCCCACATAAGGTGTCCCCACTCCCCTCCTTTCTTCCTTACTAATACCCTTGCTCCTATGATCCGATGTCTGTTGAGCTTCTTCTTTCTCCTTATCCCCTAGGTTCCTCATATACCCTTCCCTCTCCCCCTCCCTTAGATTTAAAAATTTGATTTTTTTGCATGTGTATATCACACAGAACATCCCAAACCATCTCTTTCGACTGTACACCCACTTCCCAGATAGCACCCTCCCATAGCCTCCCTCACCCCACTAGAGCCCTTATACTCTGAAATCCCTATTGTCTGCTGTGTTGTTGGCACCCCCAGCCATTCCCCACTACTTGCTCTTCTGGTGAGTCTAGTCAGCCTATCTAGAGGTCTTTGTTTTAGGAGGGTCAGCTGTTCCTCATCTAGCAGTAATCAGTTGTCAATATTCCTTTAGATAAGATTGGGCTCTGCTGTTTATTTTCCAAGTTCTATGCTGGGTTACTACCTGAGAGTCCCTTTGGCCACTCTGGCCAACAACTCAAAAGAAGGTATCGCCTGTCTGGCATTGTTGCTTGTTATGTAGCCTTTAGCTATGCATATGGACTCAAGAAATTATACTGACCCCTTCAATCTTTGGCTATACTTTCCTTTTGGGTGTTTAAGGCCATACAGTTGGCCCAGATAAACCAATTTATTTTTACTCTTAAGGTCATTTGAGGATCTGTTACTCAGGGGTCACATGGGCTTGGGAGGAGCCCTTGGCTCCTTTTACCAGTTCCACCTATGTAAACATAAGTCAAAGGTCCTGCTCAACCATGGTTGGCTTTGCTTGGAAGCATGGAGGAAATGATTCCTCTGTGTTGACCCTCCTCTTTGTAGAATGGACACTGGTTCAAGTCCATCTGGTGGGGTCTCCTCGGCTCCTTGATCAAGAGGACAGGTGACCCACCACCATTACAGGACATTTTGAGAGATGCTCATAGTCCCCTGGAACTAGTCGACCTAGGAGGGCAAGGAGCAAAAAGTGTCCTTGATGTCCCTCTGACCAAATTATTACAGGCCTCAAAGTATGTCTCTTAAACATCCAAGATAGTTAGTTCCACTACTCTGGTACTTTAATTACTGTGTGTCATGTAGATAAATCTTGGGCAAAGACCAGTTGTTCTCAGATCAACCTTACCTAGACATATATTTCTTGATCTGCTATGTATAATTTGTCAGTAGGTTGTAGGAGTAATATGGTTCCCTCTGGTTTTTAAAACTAGCTAGGCATTGTTTATCTCTCACATTGTCTCACCCCTCCATCATGGTTTTCCCACTTAATGTGCCATTTTCCCACTTTCTCCCTTAATAATACCCTTCTCCTATGGTCTTACCTCTCTTGAGCTCCTTTTTTCCCTTTATCCCCTACGTTCCTTGTCTACCCTTCCCTCCCCCCTCCCTTAAAGTAATCCAATTTTTATCTGTATCTCCTTTATTAAGGCCTGTTTCCTACTGTTCTTCTCTTTCAGGTCCTTTCTTTTCCTTTACCTCCCTGTTTCCTTTCCATTATCCTGGTTCCTGTAGTTATGTCTGGTTACATACTTACTTATCAGAGTCTGGTTCTAGGATCCACATATGAGGGAGAGCATATGCTGATTTTTTTCTGAGTCTGTGTTACCTCACTTAATATAACAGTCTCTCATTCCATCCATTTACCTGCACATTTCATGATTTCATCTTTTTTAATGCTTAGTTAAACTCCATCGTATAAATGAACCACATTTTCATTATC